ATCCATCACTGACTGTTCTGTCTCTAAGGACTCTGTGCTTCAATGTAATAAAAACTTATGTTTGTAAATGAGGTTTGTTTCTGAAAAGTATATAAATGCATATATTTCATCCTGCTCCCAACACTTGATTTCAGTCCCTGAATTACCTCTTCCAAGTTCTGCAGAAGCTTGATCACTTTAAAATCAGGAACAAGACCAGTTTCAGAACTGACCCTAGCCCTTTGATACCAAATTCCTGCATCACCCACCATTAGCAGGAACTTTTAACTGAACTTGACTGACATTAGTCTTTGCCGTGTGTGCTGGGGAAAACTCTTCCTACAAAATCTAGTTTCGAACAAATCTTCAAAATGCTAAACTGATCTACTGGGTTAAAATCTGACCTGACTGCTTTGATCCACATCTAAAAGCTGTACCATGTAGGGTGTTTCAACCTTTCACTAAATACTTCTCCCATCTTCATTTCCTCTGACAAGTCTGCATCCCCTGTGCCCTATATTTTTGCAAAAATTATGAAATTTTAAAGCTCAAGGGTTGATGTGGTCATACAATTTCCACAGAGTACGACTCAATGCATTTAAGAGTGAGCTGTGGTGGTATTCAGACTCTGCAGGTCTGAACCAGGGATCAGTTACAAGAGTTTTACAGGGTCTCAATTCTGTAAACACTAAGCATAAGACATCACGTTGCATTTGGATAAAAATTTAAATTTTTTTCCAAATACATCTGTATACAAAGGCTTTAAATTTTTAGCCCATAAGTTGACAGATTCTACGATGAGTTGTGGGATTGGGAGAAATTTAAAAATTTTTAACACTAAGTCAAACAATGCATATCCTAGCTGACTAAAATTGAGTGTCAAAGCTCAAAACACGTGTTTAATTCAGTCCAAAACTTGATTCTGGATTCCAGCTGGTTTCACAAGTCAAAACCATTAAAGCTTTTATGGTTTGGAAAATTAAAGAATTGTTACTAAATCTGAACAGTTGAATGTATTTTTGGAACTTTTCACTTACGGTGGCATCTGTATCTATAGTCTCAGTGAGACAGAAGGTTGTCATTTGTACTCCTATGGTGTTTTGCAGATTATTCTGAGTGTAAAGAAAAATGAAGGCTACCAAAAACAGGAAAGAGCCACACTGAGTTTGGATCTTTAATCTGCCACAGACAAATACTCAGATCCATTTTCCAGACAAGTTAAAAAAAACTTATTTTCACAAAGCAACCAGGTCAGATTGATTTGAGTGACTCTAAGTG